CATCTATGTCATTTCAAATGGCAAGATTTCGTTTTTTTCATGGCTGCATAGTATTCCATTGTATATATATATATATACCACATCTTCTTTACCCATTCATCTGTTGATGGACATCTAGATTCTTTTCATAGTTTGGCTATTGTGGACATTGCTGCTATAAACATTCGGGTGCATGTGCCCCTTTGGGTCACTATATTTTTATCTTTAGGGCAAATACCCAGTAGTGTGGTTGCTGGATCATAGGGTAGCTCTATTTCCAACTTTTTGAGGAACTTCCATACTGTTTTCCAGAGTGGCTGCACCAGCTTGTATTCCCACCAACAGCATAGGAAGGTTCTTGGGGAGAATTTTATATCCATGTTTATTAGGGACGTTGGTCTGCAATTCTCCTTTTTTGGTGGGGTCTTTTTCTTGTTTTGGGATCAAGGTAATGCTGGCTTCATTAAAAGAATTTAGAAATTTTCCTTCCATTTCAATTTTTGAAACAGCTTTAGAAGATAGGTATTATTTCTTCTTTAAATCTTTGGTAGAATTCCCAAAGGAAGATACCAGCCCTGGAGTGTTGTTCTTTGGGACATTTTTTGATTACTGTTTCAATTTCCTTGCTGGGTCTGTTCAGGTTTTCTATTTTCTTCCTGTTTCAGTTTTGGTAGTTTTTACGTTTCTAGGAATGCATCAATTTCTTCCAGTTTACTTAATTTGTCGGCATAGAGTTGTAGATAATATGTTCTTATAATTGCATTTCTTTGGTGTTGGTTGGATCAATCCTCTTTCAGTCATGATTTTATTAATTTGGGTCTTTTCTCCTTTCTTTTCCAATAGTTTAGGTATTCAAGTTTTTCAGTTTTATTAATTCTTTCAGGACTTTATTAATCATTAATTCTTTCAAAGAATCAGTTCCTAGTTTTGTTCATCTGTTCTACTGTACTTTTGGTTTCTATTTCATTCACTTCTGCTCTAATCTTTATTAATTTTCTTCTCCTGCTAGGTTTAGGCTTTACTTGATACTTTTTCTTCAGCTCTTTTAGGTGTAAGTTTAGGTTGTGTGTTTGAACCTTTTCTTGTTTCTTGAGAAAGTCGTGTAGTGCTGTGTACTTCCCTCTTAAGACCACCTTTGCAGCATCCTAAAGTTCTTGAAGGCTGTGTTTTCATTTTCATTTGCTCCCATGTATTTTAAAAATTCTTCTTTAATTTCCTAGTTGAACCATTCATTTTTTAATAGGATGCTTTTTAAATCCATGTATTTGTGTTTCTTCCAAATTTCCTCTTGTGATTGAATTAAGTTTTAAAGCATTATGATCTGAAGATTGGCAGGGAATAATCCTAATTGTATTGGTTGGACATGATTCTTGACCCAGTGTGTGATCTATTCTGGAGAATGTTCCATATGCACCTGAGAAGAATGAGTATGCTGTTGATTAAGGATAGAATGCTCTATAAATGTTTGTGAAGTCCATCTGGTCCAGTGTGTCATTCAAAGCTCTTGTTTTCTTGTTGATCTTCTGTTTAGGTAATCTGTCCATTGCTTTGAGTGGAGTGTTAAAGTCCCTTACTATTCTTGTATTATTATCAATGTATTTGTACAGCTTTTTACTTATTAGTTTATAAAATTGGCTACTCCCAAGTTAGGGGGATTAAATATTTAAAATTGTTATATCTTCTTCTTGGATAGACCCTTTAATTATGATATAAAGTTCTTCTTCATATCTTATTACAGTCTTTGGTTTAAAATATAGTTTTTATAATACAAAGTTTGCTACCATAGCTTTCTTTTGATGTCCATTAGCATGATAAATGGTTTTCCACCTCCTCAACTTTCAATCTGGAAGAGTCTTTGGGTCTAAAATGAGCCTCTTGTAGACAGACTTATGGCTAGGTCTTGCTTTTTTATCCCATCTGATACCCTGTGTCTTTTGATTGGGGATTTTAGCCCATTTACATTCAGAGTAATTACTGAAAGATATGAATTTAGTGCCATTGTATTACCTGTAAAGTCCCTTTTTCTGTGTATTGTCTCTGTTCTTTTCTGGTCTTCATTACTTTTGGGCTCTCTTTTCGCTTAAAAGATCCCCTTTAAGGGAGCGCCTGGGTGGCTCAGTGGGTTAGGCCGCTGCCTTCGGCTCAGGTCATGATCCCAGGTCCTGGGTTCGAGCCCCACATCGGGCTTTCTGCTCAGCAGGGAGCCTGCTTCCTCCTCTCTCTCTGCCTGCCTCTCTGCTTACTTGTGATTTCTCTCTGTCAAATAAATAAATAAAATCTTTAAAAAAAAAAGATCCCCTTTAATACTTCTTGCAGGGCTGGTTTAGTGATCAAAAAAAAAATTTTTTTTTCTAGGTTTCTGTTTGTCCTGGAAGCACTTTATCTCTCCTTCTATTCTGAATGACAGCCTTGCTGGATAAAGCCTTAGTGCATATTTTTCTCATTTAGCACCCTGAATATATCATGTCAGTCTTTTCTGGCCTACCAGTGCTCTGTGGATAGGTCTGCTGCCAGCCTACGTTTCTACTCTTATAAGTTCAGGACCTTTTGCCCAAGGTGCTTTCAGGAATTTCTCTTTATCTCTGAAATTTGCCAGCTTCAGTATTATATGTCAAGTTGTTGACCTATTTTTATTGATTTTGAATACTCCTGGACTTGAATGCCTGTTTATTTCCCCAGAATAAGGAAGTTCTCAGCTGTAATTTGCTCAAATAACCTTCCGCTCCTCCATTTCTCTTCCTCTGGGACACCAATTATTCTAACATTGTTTAGCTTTATTGCATCACTGATGTCTGGAATCCTCCCCTTGTGATCCAGTAGTTGTTTATCTCTCTTTTTTTCAGTTTCTTTATTCTCCATAATTTTATCTTCTATAACATTGATTCTCTCTTCTGCCTCATTTATTCTGCAGTCAGAGCATCCATCAATGATTGCATCTCATTAATAGCCTTTTTTATTTCAGCTTGATTAGATTTTAGTTCCTTTATTTCTCCAGAACCCTTTCTCTAATGTCTTCTGTGCTTTTTTCAAGCCCAGCTAGTGTCTTTATAATCATTATTTTAAATTGTAGTTCCTACATTTTTTAATATCCATATTCATTAAGTCCCTGGTAGTGACTACTGCCTTTGTTCTTTTCTTGTGGTGAGTTCTTCTGTCTTGTCATTCCTGCAAAAAGTGGTCTCTTTTTTATTTGTAGACTTGCAGCAATTCTTTTTTAAAATCTCTGGTTCATTTGCAGGTGTTCAGAATAATTTGATAGCTATGTAGCTGAATTCCAGGCAAAACGAGGGTCCCTTATTCCTCTGCCATCTTCCTCTTCTCCTTGGGAGGAAAGTAAATTTTATCATTAAAAGAAAGGTGTTGTGACTCCTGCCCAGCCCTTCTATGCCCAAGAGGTATCCCTAATGGATTCCCCTGCATTTGCATTTGTGTCTCATGGAGACTCGTGGCTGGGTGAGCATGGCAAGGAGCCCTGCTGATGGTGTGCCTAGAAACCAGCTCCTTCCTGGGAGCACATCTATCAGGTGGAGAATTTCTCATTCTCATTCTTCCCCTCACACATGCCTCATTCCCACTTGTGCCTCACTTCACTCCACCCCACTCCACAACCATGAAGGCTGATGTCCAGCCATTGCTACCATCTAAGAAGAGAGGAGGACAGATGGGAGTGAACATGAATGTGTTAGATATGTGTCTTCCCACATCCTGTCATGTTCTGGTGCTGACATCCATTACCTGGGTCTGTGGTCTTAGAAGAGAGGTCCACATTTAGGGCAGAAAACTGATCTGGGGGAGACCATTTGCCTGCCGTGACTCAGCATGATACTGTGAGTCCTTTCAGGCTCTAAAAGTCTTTCTTCCCCGATTGGAAGGTACAGGACCAAATAATCTGTCCTTGCGTTTTGATGCATTCTTGTCTTGCTTGTTCTTATTAAACTGTTATTTATAAACCAGTGGTGTGTGGCTTCTGTTGTGTGGGTCCCTGAGCTACTCAAAGAGGACCTGGCTCAATGGAATCTTTCCTCTCAGGTTTAGACAGGAGGAGATAGGCCAGAAAACACCCCCAATGACTCCACTGTGAGAATCTGCATTCTACTTCTTCATTTCTTATCTCCAATGCCCCTGATAAGAGGAAATTCTTCCAGGGCTGGAGGTAGCAAGACTCATCCAGAGACATCCTGGAGCGTCTTTTTTTCTTTGTTTTCTAAGGTTTTACTTATTTATTTATTTGTTTGAGAGAGAGTGAGAGTGAGAGTGAGAGACTGCACATGAGTGGGAGGGGAAGGGGGAGGGGCAGTGGCAGAGGGAGAAGCAGACTCCCCACTGAGCAGGCAGCCCAATGCAGGGGTCAATCCTAGGACCCTGGGATCATGACCCGAGTTGAATGCAGATGGTTAACTGACTGAGGCATCCAAGTGTCCAAAGTGTCACTTCTAGCTCTGAGAAGGGGAACTGACTGGGACACCCAAGTGCCCATCTTGAAAATGCCTGACACTGGAGCTGGGGGAGTGCTTGATGAAGCCTATGGGGTGTACTGAGGTCACCATGAGTAATGGGAGATGGAAGCTATCAATGGGCAGGGGCCTGGCCATCTGGCTTTACCCTCAAGTGGAAAAGAGTGTTACCTTGGACAGACTCTAGCCATGACTCCCTTCACTGACTCAGCATCAAAAGTAGCCTTCAGTGCCAGTAACCCTGACTGGAGCCCACCCCCAGTTCCCCAATAGTGCAAACAGAGACTCAGTGCCTCACAAGGCCTACAGAAGGGGATGCAGACCTCCTTCCAGCCCCCATGATGGCACAGCAGAGTGTCTGAGTCTAGGTGCCATCAGGCCCATCTAGAGAGCAGAGATGAGCAGAGCAGTGAGCAGGTGTTTAGAATAGCAGGCTCCATCTCATCCAGAAAACTGTGAGCTGAGTTCTGTCCAGTCTCTATGGCAGAGTAGTGCTTGAGGCCAGGGCCTCTGCCCTATGGAAACTCACAATTTGTTGAGGTGACCCTTTGTCCTGTTGTGTTCCAGATATCAACGAGTGTGGACCACTGTCAGCTGTGTCCTGTGGAGAATTTGCAGATTGCCAGAACACAGAGGGGAGCTACTACTGCACATGCATTCCAGGATATGAGCTTGCTTCTGGGGCAAGAATGTTCAAGAATGAGAGTGAGAACACATGTCAAGGTGAGAATTGACTTGTATCTTCCATCTTCTCCTCCATGAGGTTTGGTGTCACTCAGCTCACTTTCTCGAGGCACCAGAGAACATCCTAGTATCCTGTCCCTTTCCAAAACTCAAGGCTCAGAACCCTATCGAGAGGGTCACTTCTGTAATTCTGAAATGTCCTCCTTGTCTATCTGGGATCTTATTTTCGTAAAACAAAAAGAGAGATGGCATCAAGATACTTCAGAAGCTGAGAGCATGTGTGTTCTAACACAATATCTATCTTCTTCACCATCATCAATGACTGCCACGAAGAGTCCTGCCCCCACTGGAGCCCACATGAGTTTGGCTCCCACTAGGAGCCCTCTCAAAGCCATGGGCCCTGAGGGATCCAGGAACCCTGTCCAGAGACATGGGAAGAGGGAGATTTAAGGGTGGGTTCATCTTCCCCGGTTGGCCTTGCCAACAACCCCACCTGGAGAAGACACATCCTAGCACCTTGATTTGGGTTTTTGTCTGCTCTACCACCATGTACTTCTCTATGCAAGGCTCTGCCTGACTCTCCCCAGTAACTTCCATTCAACAGCCTGTGACAAATTGGATGACCAGGATCTGGGAGGCTGTAGTGTTGGTGGTGGGAAGAGTGATGTGGACTATCCCCACACACCTGGAGACTCATATGAATGGAAGAGGGTCTCATATGGACTAAATGGCAAGACAGGACATAATTGGAGACCAGAGTCCCAAGTCTGACCCTCTTAAAAAGGGGTCAACCTGGGTCCCAGGTTGACTCAGATGACTTGGTGATGGAAGATGAAAGCTAAACTCCCTTGACAGGATCCACAGGTCTGTGTCCTTTCCTGGGACACAAGGCCAAGAACCTGTCACTCCTTGACATCAGCACGTGTTCCCTATTCCAGCCACTCAGCTCTTGCCTATCTAAGGACTTGCTCAGATGTGTATTCTCCGCACTTCCTGCCAATCCAAGCATGCCTTCAGAGGAATCAGAAAAGTCACCTTCATCACCCCAAAGTTGCTTGGCTGAACATCAGCCCCCCACTATCCTCTTCAGCTTGGTGCCTGCTGTCTGGGTGACCCAGGACTGGCTGGCATCATCTTCATCTCCCTTCCTCTATAGAAAGCTTTTTCCTTGAGGAGCCTGGCTTAGATGTGGGTCTTGGTGCATCTCCATGGAGCTGAAGTCTCAGACAGTGTGGTTGAGAGAGCGTTGTCCTGCTAGGGTCACTGGGTTCCAAGGACAACTCAGGCAGCAAGTTGTTGCCCTGGGAAATTAGGACAAAATCACCACTGGGAGCTAAGTCCTGCTTGGGGAACACAGCATTTCCCCTGCACTTGGTTCCCAGGAAGGCCCACTCTGGACTTGTCCAAGTCCTCAGGCTGGAACACAGGTGGCCATGATGTCCTTGCCTTACCTGGGAGCTGCCCAGAGAGGCCAAAGGAGCCAGAGCTGGCAGATGGGGAGGACTTGGACCACTTCTGGCAACATCTGGAAACAACATCTGGGCTACCATGCTCACTCATCACTCATCTTCATGTGAATTAGAAAAGGCACCCACTCACTGAGGAGGAGAGAACAGAGGTTTCCAGATGCTTCTATCCCAGGAAATAGCTGCAGGCACCCATCATCCTCTTCTTCCCCCTGCAGATGTGAATGAATGTCACCAGAAACCCCGAATCTGTAAAAGCTGGGACATCTGCACCAACACCCAGGGCAGCTACACCTGCGAGTGTCTGCCCGCCCGGCTTGCAGCTCAACCCGGGCAACCCAAATCTGTGCACAGGTGGAGGCCCTAGCAGACACTGGAGGCTGCGCTGGAGCTGGGGAGGGGCCAAGGCGGATCCCGTAGCCCCAGGAGGAGGGAGAACCTCAGGTTCCTGAAACACTGGGGGTTTGCTCTGCCCAAGGAGTCACCTCCCAGGAAGGTCCCACCATAGAGCAGGGAGGCCACAGGGCTTTCTGGGCCTGGGGCTCCCTTGTGGACCTCAGTCTCTATAAGCACCCCCACACTTGCCCCTCCTAATCTGTCCCATTCCAGCAGGAAGTGTCACTTCTAGCTCTGAGTAGGGGAACCTAAGTTGCCAGCTGAGGAGGAAATGACTAAGAACCTTGACTGGGACCCTGCAATTGCACTACTGGGTATTTACCCCAAAGATACAGATGGAGTGAAAAGAAGGGCCATCTGTACCCCAATGTTTATAGCAGCAATGGCCACGGTTGCCAAACTGTACAAAGAACCAAGATGCCCTTCAACGGACGAATGGATAAGGAAGATGTGGTCCATATACACTAGGGAGTATTATGCCTCCATCAGAAAGGATGAATACCCAACTTTTGTAGCAACATGGACGGGACTGGAAGAGATTATGCTGAGTGAAATAAGTGAAGCAGAGAGAGTCAATTATCATATGGTTTCACTTATTTGTGGAGCATAACAAATAGCATGGAGGACATGGGGAGTTAGGAGAAGGCATTTGGGGGAAATTGGAAAGGGAGGTGAACAATGAGAGACTATGGACTCTGAAAAACAATCTGAAGGGTTTGAAGAGGTGGGGGGGATGGGAGGTTGGGGGAACCAGGTGGTGGGTATTAGTGAGGGCACGGACTGCATGGAGCACTGGGTGTGGTACAAAAACAATGAATACTGTTATGCTGAAAATAAATAAAAAAAATAATTAATAAAAAAAAAGAACCTTGAGTGGGAAGTCTAGCTCTCATGACTCAATTTCCCCTTTGCTATAGTTTTTGCCTGAAAAGGAGGATATTGTCCCTCCTGAGTTCATCTCGAAGGAAGCTGTCATAAGGAGCTTTGTGAGTGGAGAGGCAGCATTATTTTCAGGACCGGTGTATGCTCAGTGCAAGCAGTGAGGAGATGGGGAACCAGGCCTGGGCAGGGCAGGGCTGACCCTGTGGGATCTGTTCTCAAAAGGACAGGGGTACGGCTTGGGACAGCAGTGGTGCCATTACCCCACCCACCGAGTCAACACAAGGGTAGCTCAGTGTCACAGCCTCCCTGGGTAGAGGCCCATTCTTGCCCCCTGATACCCAGTCCATCCTGCACCATATGTGAAGGGACTCATCTTTGTCTGGAATGACACACATGGTTCTTCCATGTCCACCTTGCAGGGATAATCTGAGATTATTGAGTTTTTACAGGAGAAGATGCTATCATAAAATTTATTTTGACATACTAAGTGGCTGGTACATGGTGTGTGTGTGTGTGTGTATGTCTCCTTGGTGTGAAGTACTAAAGCATCGGAGAAAAGGGGAAGGCAGGATGGGTGCAGTGAGTGGAGGGACTCTGACCCTCTTGCTTTGTCCTCAGACATGAATGAATGCACATCAGGGCAGAACCCATGCCACAGCTCCACCCACTGCCTCAACAACATTGGGGGCTATGAATGCCGCTGCCGCCCTGGCTGGAAGCCCATTCCTGGGTCCCCCAATGGCCCAAGCAACACTGTCTGTGAAGGTACAGAGCTCAGACGCCACTTTCTGGAGACCCGCACTCAGAACATCTGATCCCATATTCAGTGGCGTTAATTATTTTGAGGCTGGAGCGGGGGTGGTTTCTGGGAAAGGAGCTAGGGTACAGAGGAGCAGGCTCCTTGGAGACCCCAGACAGCAGCTAATTACCACCTCGGGCAAAGGTATTTCTATATTCACAACCTGCACATCTGTACAGGGCTCACGTGCTACATGTCAGGCTCACTTCCCCTAATCCCTGCATCACTAGGATACGGGGGTAACAGGCGTTATCACCTCCAATCAAGGGGGTACACTAACACAAGAAAATGAGGAAGGGGACAGAGAGGAAAGGGGTCCTGACTCCCATTTTGTGTCCCCAGATGTGGACCAGTGCAGCTCTGAGCAGCCTACGTGCCACAAGTCCACCATCTGCATCAACACCGTGGGCTCGTACAAGTGCCGCTGCCGCCGGGGCTGGGAGCTCAAACCTGGATTCCGGGATAATCAACTGAATACCACCTGTGAAGGTATCTGGTCTGACCTGACCCCAGACTCCGCCCTTGATACACACAGACACTCTCACACCTAATGAACTGCTGCTCTATCCCCTGCAGAGATGTCGTTCCCCACCTGGACCCCACCCCCTAGAATCAAGAGCCAGGTGAGTGGCCCCAGCAGGGACCAGGATGCAGGAATCCCTCCGTGCAGCCCACTGATCCACCCATTCATCCCAAGCTCCTGATTCAAATGTGAGGCTCTCTGACTTGTGTCATCTCTATCCTAGCGGCTCTCCCATTTCTTTGAAAGAGTCCAAGGTCTGGGGAGACACTTCAAGCCAGCCTTGGCTCAGGACACCATCCAGGTAAGGGCAGATCCCAGGAGAGGCAACCTGGAGGCATCCCATAGAGACCTGGGAAGCTTTGGTCTGGGAGGAGGCAGCCCCAACATGATGGCTTCCTGTCTCAGGCCCCGCCTTTCCCAGGGTGGGTGGAGACGGGCAGGCATTCCTACTCACTGTTAGACATCCCCCGCACCCAGAAATGACTTTTCTTCTTGCTGTTTCTGGACATTGGGCTAATGTCACTCTTGGCATTTGTGAACAGGGTTGACTTTTGTGTGGCTGGATTCCAGGGGCAAAGACCCAGGATATGTGATCAAGTACCACCTTCATCTACCAATGAGTCTCCAGGGTCTGTTGTCTGGGGGAGAGTGGGAAGGGTCTTCATTCTCACTAGCTCTGTGTCCCTGTCCCCCTCCAGTACCTCATACAGGAGGTGGATGAGCTGCTCCAGACCCCTGAAGACCTGGAGGCCCTGCCCCGCTCAGAGCAGCACTGTGTGGCCACGAACCTGCTTGGTGGCCTGGGGGATGTACTGAGAAAGCTGAGCCAGGCTCTGCCCAGTGGAACATTGACCTTCAATGCATCTGCAGGCACAGGTAAGTACTGGGGTCTGCCCCAGGCTCTGCTCTGCCTGTTCCCGCCACCTTTGTCCCGCAGCCTCACTGGAATGTGTGACCATGTTTGTATCTCAGTGTTACACTCATAACATCTTAATTGTTAAATGAATAAAACTGCTAATCGTACACATTTTCATTGTAATATAAAGAATGGAAATTTAATATTATTTGATATTTAAGTATGATTTGTTTTATTGAGGTAAAATTTACATAACATAAAATTCACCATTTTAAACAAAATTTACAATTCAGTGGACTTAGTACACTCACAGAGTTGTACAACCATCACCTCCATTTCTAAAATATTTTCATCACCCCAAAAGTAAATAGTGTACCCACGAAGCAGTCCCTTCTCATCTCTCTCCCAGACCCTGGCAGTCACCAGTCTGTTTTCTGTTTCTGTGGATTTCCCTATCCTGAACATTTCATAGCAATAGAATCATGCAATAGATGATCTTATAGTCTGGTTTCTTTCACACAGCATCATGTTTTCAAGGGGAATCCCTGTTGTAGCCCGTGGCAGTAATTCTTTCCTTTTTAGGGTCGGATAATGTTTCATTATTGTGGCTAAAGCACCTTTCGTGTATCCATTCATCCACTGATGGACCTTTGGGTTGTTGCCAGCTTTTGACTATTTTGAATAGTGTTTCTATAATATTGGTGGACAAGTTTTTGTTCGAATAACAGTTCTCAGCTCTTTGCATACCAACATAAGAGTGGAATTTCTGAGTGATGAGGTGACTCTCTGCTCAACTTTTTGAGGAATGACCAAACTCTTTTTCCAAAATGGAGGCACCATTTTACATCCCTACAAGCAACACAAGGGTTCCCGTATGCACAGTCTCAGCAACACTTCGTACTTACATTTTGTTTTTGTATAGCCGTTTTAGTGTATCAGGTGATATCTCATATGGTTTTGATTTGCATTTCTCAAATGACTAATGATATTTACCATCTTTTCATGTGATTGCTGAATATTTGTGTGTGTGTATGTGTGTGTGTATTTTTTTTTTTTTTTGAGAGACAGCTATTCAAGTCCTTTGCCTATCTTTTTAATTCATTGTTTGGCTTTTGGTTGTTGAGCTGTAAGAGTTCTTTATATATTCTATAGTAGACTGTATGAGACATGGGATTTGCTCATTTTTTTCTCCCATTCCATAGACTATCTCTCCACTTTCTCCATGGTCTTTTCACTCTTGTGAACAGATGCTTCTGTTTTGATGAAATACCTTTCCTCTGTTTTTTCTTTTGTTGGGTATGCATTTGGTGCATTCTCTAAGAATCCATTGCCAAGTTCAAGCCCATGAAGATTACACCTGTGTTTCCTCCTAACTGTTGTAGTTTAGCTTATAAATGTAGGTCTTTTACCCATTTTGAGTTAGCGTTTGTGTGTTGTGTGAGGTGGGGTCCTTCTGTTCTAAGTGGAGATCCAGATGTGCCCAGCACCATTTTCTAAAGAGACTTTTCTTTTGCTGCTGAAGGGTCTTGGCATCTCTTGTTGGAAATCAGTTGAGCACTCAATTGATGTGTGGGTTTATTTCCAGACTTCCAATTTTATTTTACTTGTCTGTATGTCTATTCTTATACCAGAGCCTACTGTTCTGGTTACTATAGGTTAGTACTCAGTTTTGAAATCAGGAGGTATAAATACTCCAATTTTGTTTTTAATTTTCAAGATTTTTTTGGGTATTTTTGCCCCTTGCAATGCCTTGTGAACTTGAGGACTGATTTTTCCATTTCTAAAAAAAATGTTGTTGGAATATTGATATGGATTGCATTGAATATGTAGATCTTTTTTGAAAATATTGCTATCTTAACAATATTAATCCTTTAAAATCATGAATATAGAATGTTTTTCCAGTTACATAGGGTCCTTCATTTATTCTTTTCTTTTTTTGAAGATTTTATTTATTTATTTATTTGTCAGAGAGAGAGAGAGAGAGAGTGAGAGCTAGCGAGCACACAAGCAGGCAGAGTGGCAGGCAGAGGTGGAGAGAGAAGCAGGTTTCCTGCTGAGGAAGGAGCCCGATGTGGGACTCAATCCCAGGACCCTGGGATCATGACCTGAGCTGAAGGCAATGGCTTAAGCCACGGAACCACCCAGGCGTTCCTCCTTCATTTATTCTAACATTTTTTTTTTTTTTTTGTAGTTTTCAATGTACAAGTCTTGAACCTCCTCGGGTAAATTTATTCCTAATACTTTCTTGAAGGTTATTTTTTTTACATCTGTGATCACAAGAAATATTGGTCTATAGTTTCCTCCTAAAGGCTTTATCTGGTTTTGTTATCAGGGTGATGGTGGCATCATAAGATTATTCACATAGTATTCTATCCTTTCCTACATTTGGAGGGGTTTACTAAGGATCTTATTAATTCTTACTTAAATAGTTGGCAGAATTCACCAGTAAAACCATCTGGTTTAGGCTTTTTATTTTGGGGATTTAAAAAAAAAAGATTTTATTTATTTGTTGACAGAGGGAGAGAGAAACAGTGAGAGAGGGAACATAAGCCGGGGGAGTGAGAGAGGGAGAAGCAGGTTTCCTACTGAGCAGAGAGCCCGATGTGGGGCTTGATTGCAGGACCCTGGGATCATGACCTGAGCTGATGGCAGACGCTTAATGACTGAGCCACCTGGTGTCCCTATTTTGGGGAATTTTTACCTGTTTATTATATTTCCCTGTGATAGTTAAACTTTATTAAAGTTCAACTTTTTGTTCTTCAGTTACTTTTGTAGCTTGTTTGTCTCTCGGAATTTGTCACTTTCATCTAGGTTATGCAGTTTGTTGGTGTATAGTTGCTCATAGTATTGTCTTATCCTTTGTAAATTCGGTGTGTGTGTGTGTGTGTGTGTGTGTGTGTGTGTGTGTGTTTGCGCGTCACGCATGTGCCTACCACAACATATAGAAAGTAATGGTGTTATAGCAACCACTACAGGCAGAATTACTAACCTAACTCTTACCACTCACAGACCTGTCCCTGGAGGTGCAGGAGCAAGGACACAGAAATGTCACTTTGAGTTCAAATCAGGCGAAGATGTGGCTGAACTGGGATGTGGTGCACAAATCTGGTGACTCAGGTAATGGCTGAGATGGGAGGAAGGTCACAAGATGCCCAAGGATGTAACAAACAGGGAACAGAAGATAAAAGGGAAGGGGGGATTTAGCAAGGCTACAAAGCATGTCTTTGAGGGGGAAGGGGCTCTGTTGAACACACCAAGATATTAACTTAGGCCTCATCTTGCAGGTCCTTCTGTGGCGGGCCTCGTCTCCACTCCGGGGATGGGCAAGTTGCTGGCAGAGGCCTTCCTGGTCCTGGAGTCTGAGAAACAGGCAGTTCTGCATGGGGCACACAAGCGTATTTTGCCAGGAGTCTCCTTGGTCCTGCTCTCAGATGTCATCTCTGCCTTTACGAACAATAAGTACACCCAGAACCTCAGCTCCCCCATCACCTTCATCTTCTCTCATCATGTGAGTGCTGGTGTCATGGGACTTTGGGTGTGGAATGAGCCTGGGTCCTGGGCACAGCCTTGTTGCCTAGCTCAGCCTTGCATTTCTGGGTGGGGGCTCCCCCATGAGTGCATCTTTCCCCAGGAAAGCCCTTTGCAAGCCAGCTTTGGATAAGCATTTCCGAGCACCAGAAATATGAGCTCCCACCTACACTCTCTTCCTACAGTCAGTGAGCCCTGGGCCAACACAAAAGGTATTCTGCGTCTTCTGGGAGCACAGTCAAGGTGGCTGTGGTCATTGGTCCACTAGAGGCTGCAAGATGGTGACCACTACAGACACCAGTACCATCTGCCAGTGCACCCATCTCAGCAGCTTTGCCGTTCTCATGGACCACTACGATGAGCAGGTGAGAGCCCGGAGAGGGGTTGCATTCCATGCCTATTGCTCTGTAACATATTTCCTCACGTGTAAGGGCTTTAAAAAAACATAAAGATATATCTCATGGTTACTTTGGGGCAGCAGCCGGGCATGGTGTAGCTGAGTTGTGTATTCTGGGTCTTACAATGCACCTTAGCTGCATTTTTCTCTGAGGCTCAGGTCCTCCTGTGAGCTCCCTGGTTGCTGGCAGGATTCAGTTCCTTGCAGCCATAGGACTGGGGTTCCACTTTCTAGCTAGCTGTGAGCAGGGGACGCTGCTCAGCTACCAGGGGCTGCCTGTATTCCTTCTCTGGTAGCCCTCACACAGTGTCTCAGCATTTCTATTCAGAGGCCAGCAGGAGGAGATCTCTCATCAGAAACGCTCTCAAACTTTGAACCTTTTTCTCCGAGAAGAGCCCAGAGCTTTTGGGGGCTTACTGATTAGATCAGGCCCACCCAGGATAAACCCCTCTTTTAGAAAAGTTTACTGATACAGGACCTGAATTCCAACTGCAAAATCTCTTCACAACACACAAATTGGCTTTTATCTGAGAACCTGGAAGATGTGTGTACACCTTTTCTTTCTGCCGAATTAGAGTTCTACTTACCACAGGGGTCTTCGGGGCAGGAGTGCAAAGGGGTTATAGAACAGAAGGTATGGTGGTGGCAGACATCAGAGGGACAGGGAAACCAGTGAGTACAGGTAGATTAGCAACTATGTTTGCCTGCTCCCCTGGCCAGGTGAGCTGGTTACTTCCTCTGGATCACTGAAACAAAAATCTCATGCAGGTGACCTGTAAGTAAAACAAACCTTTGTGAGTTCTGGGGCTTTGTCTTGAGTAAGGATTCTCCTAGCCCTCAATTCTTGCAGGATCCGAATCAGGTCAGAATCCCATAGAATTCTAGCAATCCGAACCTGGAGGAATTTACCCAATAACATAACAAGTTTACCTGAGTCCTCACTCTTGATGTTGCTGTGCCAGAGTATTTTTTTAAAGAATGGAAGAGTCATTACTCAGAGCAGGAAAATGTGATGGTGATGTCCTCCTTGCTTCTCTTTGCTGGGTCCCAGGAGGAGCGTCACGGGCTGGCTGTGATCACCCATGTGGGGCTGGGCATCTCTCTGCTGTGCCTCGTCCTGGCAGCCCTCACCTTCCTGCTGTGCAAAGCCATCCAGAATACCAGCACCTTGATCCACCTGCAGCTCTCAATCTGCCTCTTCCTGGCCCACCTGCTCTTCCTCACGGCCATCAACCAGACCAAGATCAAGGTACTGACACTGTCACTGAGGAGGCCCTGCCCTGCCCCAGGGGTGCTCAGTTCATGGAGCTGTGCTGCAATGATACCTTACCTCAAATGGCTTCGGGGCTCAGGGAAGTTTTGAAGAGTAAGTAGCCTATTTCACATGGACAAAACTAGAAAGGAAACCTTTTCTTAACAACTTCTTTATACACATTAGACTTCTCCCAAGTGGCAAGATATGGGAAGGGTCCTGGGGCCACTCTCCTCCCTGACAATCCCTCCTGGTGACACTTTTCTCCTCCCCCAGGTGCTGTGTGCCATCATTGCAGGTGCCCTACACTATCTCTACCTGGCCTCCTTCACCTGGATGTTGCTGGAGGGTCTGAATCTCTTCCTCACTGCTCGCAACCTGACGGTGGTCAACTACTCCAGTGTGAGGAGGTTCATGAAGAAACTCATGTTCCCTGTGGGCTATGGAGTCCCAGCTATAATTGTGGCCATTTCTGCAGCATCCAGGCCTTAGCTTTATGGAACTCCCATGCGGTAAATGCAAATTCTTTACATGATCATGGCCACCACTAGAGCCAGAGTAGCATTTTTTAAAAATTATGCCTGAACATAATAAGAGAAGGCACATGAAGTAATAATCCTTAGGACATTTTTCTGGTAGAAAATTATAATAATTAAGTAGCATGTCCTTTAAAGCTCTGTCCTTTGAATAACAAAACCAAAGCCAAAGAAGTGCTTAGGACACCATTTAGAAAAATTGAATCTACTTCTTTGTCCAAATTCTTTAGGATGTTCCAATGTTTTTATTTGGAAAAGGAGAGGTGATTTAAATAATGAAGTAATAGATTGTATTATAGTTAAGATTTATATGGTGCTTACTTTATGGCATGCATTTTTATAACCATTTTTGTACGTGTTCTCTCTCTCAATGCTCACACTAATGCTATGAAGAAAGTACAGTCATTTGCCCAATTTTACAGATGAATAAACTGAGCCACAGATAGTTTAATTAGATACCCCAGGGTGCATGGCTAGTAAGTAACAGAGCTTATACTCTATTATCTTCACATTTAATACTCAGTTTCACGTTTATTAAAAAATTTAATTTTATTTTTTCAGTGTTCTAAGATTCATTGTTTATGTACCATACCCAGTGCTCCATGCAATACGTGCCCTCCTTAATACTCACCACCAGGCTCACCTAACCCCTCAATCCCTCCCCTCCAAAACCCTCAGTTTGTTTCTCAGAGGTTTTTTTCTTTTATATTTTTATTGAAATATATTTCACATACTGTAAAATTGACCCTTTAAAACTGTACAGGCTAGTGTTTTTTAGAACAATCACAGAACCATTGTGACAAATTAACCTTTGTGGCAATCACCACAAATGTTAATTCTGGAACACTTTCAACTCCTGCACAACACTCCCTCCTCATCCTGCTACCCACCTCCACCCCTGCCCCGGCTATCACTGATCTACCTGCTGTCTCTAGGGATCTGCCTGTTCTGGATGTTTGACGTAGATGAAATCGTACATGTGGTCTCCTGTGACTGTGTTCTTTCCCTTTGTAAGGTGCTTTCAGGGCTCACCCACGTTGTTGTTGCAAGTATTGTGTCAGTTCCTCTTGGTGGTGGTATTGTTTCTCAGGTAATTTTCCATTATAATGATACTGCATTTTGTGTATGTGTCATTTAATAGGCTCTTAGATTGTTTCCAGGTTTTGCCATCATGAATGAGGCTGCCATAAATATACATGTGTAAGTTTTTGTGTGAATGTATATTTTCATTTGTTTTGGGTATATATCCACTTGTGGGATTGCTGGATCACATGGCACATCTATGTTTAGCATTTAGACAAACTGCCACACGTTTTCCCAAGTATCTGCCCCCCTGTTAGCATCACACAAGCAGTCTTTACGTGCGGGCTCTAATTTCTAAACATCATCAACACTTACTTTTCTACATTTTGAATGTTAGCCCTCCACATGAGTTTGAAGTGATATCGCATTGTGGTTTAGAGCTGCAATTTCCTACTAACTAGTGATACCGAGCGGCATTTCCTGTTCTTATTGACCAATCTGCCTATCTTCTTTGGAGAAATGCCTTTTCAAGTCTCTTGACCATTTTTAAATTGGATTATTTGTCTTTTTATGGTTGAGGTTTTGAGTTCTTAATATATCCTGGATGCTAGTGCCTCCTTGATATGTGATTTGCAAATATTTTCTATCAACCTGTGTCTTTTCAGTTTCTCGATAATGCCCTTTAAAGCAGGAAAGTTTTTAATTTTGATGAAGTTCACTTTTTTTCTTATCTAAGCTTATGCTTAGGATGTCACATCTAAAACCATGTACAACCTAATCTTCCTACATTCGTTTTCTCCTTCTAAAATTATATGTTTGTATCTTATAAGCCCACTGACACAGTTTTGTAAGTATTGCTCTGTGCAGTGATCATTTAAAACAGAAAAACAAAAGAGTTACAAACAAAAATATAGCATTTTTCATAATTCCTACATAGTTCTTTTACTGGTGCTCTCTATTTCTTTGTTTGGATTCAAGTTACAATCTAGTGTTCTTTCCTTTTTTTTTTTAAAAGATATTTATTTATTTATTTGACAGACAAAGATCACAAGTAGGCAGAGAGGCAGGCAGAGAGAGAGGAGGAAGCAGGCTCCCTGCTGAGCACAGAGCCCGATGCAGAGCTCGATTCCAGGACCTTGAGATCATGACCTGAGCCGAAGGCAGAGGCTTTAACCCACTGAGCCACCCAGGCACCCCTCTAGTGTCCTTTCCTATCAGCCCGAAGGACTTTAGTATTTCTTGTCGGACAGATCAGCAAGGAAGAATTATTTTTGTTTTTCTTGAAATGCCTTAATTTCTTATTTTTTCAAGAAGAATTTAGCTGGACATGGATGTCTTGGTTGACAATCATTTTTCTTTTTGACAATTTGAAGATATTATTCCACAGCTGTCTGACCTCCATAATCTCAGACAAGAAGGTTTTGCTCATCTTATTGCGGATCTCTCTCTCTCTCGCTGTCTTTTTTTTTTTTTTTTTTTTTTTTTTGAGAATGAGAGGGAGAGGGGATGGAAGGGCAGAGGGACAGAGAGAATCTTATGCAGGGTCTATGCGCAGGAAGGAGCCTGATGTGAAACTTGATCTTATGATCCTAAAATCATGATCTGAGCCAAAATCAAGAGTTGGATGCTTAACTGAATAAACCACCCAGGAACCACTTACAGAGGATCTCTCTCTCTTTATTTTTTTTTAAATTTTTTAATTTTTTAAAAACTACATTTTTTTTTCAAGATTTTAAAAAAAATTTATTTGACAGAGAGAGAGAGAGGTCACAAGCAGGCAGAGAGGCAGTCAGAGAGAGAGGGAGAAGCAGGTTTCCTGCTGAGCAGGGAGCCTGATGTGGGGCTGGATCCCAGAACCCTGAGATCATGACCTGAGCTGAAGGCAGAGGGTTAACCCACTGAGCCACCCAGGTGCCCCAATCTCTCTCTCTTTAATAAATATTTTATTTATTTAATTGACAGAACAAGTGAGAGAGAACAAGCAGGGGGAGCAGCAGAGGGAGAGGGAGAAGCAGACTCTCTGCTGAGCAGGGAGCCTAATGCGGCACTCAATCCCAGGACCCTGGGATCATGACCTGAGATGAAGCAGCCCCTTAACTAAATGAGCCACCCAGGCATCCTGAGGGTCTCTTGTATGTGAAAAATCAATTTTCTCTTGCCACTAAAGATTTTGTCTTTGTCTTTGTCAGTAGGTCTATGGTATGTTTTGGTGTGGATCTCTTTGGGTTTATTCTTTTTTTTTTAAATTTTAAAAAAGATTTTATTTATTTGTTTATTTATTTTTATTATGTTCAGTTAGCCATTGTGTAGCACATAATTAGTTTTTGATGTAGTGTTCCATGATTCATTAGTTACGTATAACAACTAGTGCTCATCAAAGTTCAGGGTCAGATGGCTTCCCGGGGGAATTCTACCAAACATTTAAAGAAGAAATTTTACCCATTCTACTGAAGTTGTTCTTTGAGTTTATTCTACTTGTAGTTCATTGGGCTTCTTGGATATGTAGATTGATATTTTTATTCACATTTGGAAAGTTCTAACTTCACTCTTCAAGCATTTTTCTGCCCTTTAGCTTTGTCTTCTTCTGGGACTCCATTACGTGTGTGTGTTGCACTTGGTCTTGTGTCACAAGTCTCTGAGGTTCTGTTCATTTTTCTTCATTCTATTTTCTTTCTGTTCCACAGACAGTATAATTTCTAATGACCTATATTGAAATTTATTAATTTTTTTCTTTTACCAGCTCCAATCTATTGTTGACCCCTTCTGATGAATTTTTCATTTCAGTTACTGTATTTCTCATCTAGAGAATTAGTATTTGGTTCCATACATGATATCTATTGTTTCATCCATAGTCTTTATTTGGTGAGACGTTGTTGTCATATTTTCCTTTAGTTTTTAATTGTTTCTTTGTTTTCTTTTCTTTTAGAGAGAGGAAGAGAGCAAGTGTGCAAGCGTGAGTGGGCGAGGGACAGAGGGAGAGACAGAGAATCCCAAGCAGGCTCCAAACTCAGTGTGGAGCCTGCTGTAGGTCTCTATCCCATGATCCCAAGATCATGACCTGGGGCCAAATCTAGAGGCAGATGGTTGACTGAATGAGTCACCCAGGCATTCTTTCCTTTAGTTTTTTAGACATGGTTTAGTGTTTTTAATATATTTAGAATAACTGATTTAAAGACTTTATCTACAAAGTTTGAAATTTGTGCCTCTTCAGAAACATTTTCTTTTGACTGATTTTTTTCTGTCAGTTGCACGTTTTCCTGTTTCTTTGTATAGACCATACATTTTTGGTTAAACTCAATATTTTATCCTTTCTGATGGAGGCATAATATTCCATTGTATATATGGACCATTATCTTCTTTATTTATATCAATTTATAATTTATTTATATTTATTTATTTATTATTTATATATATATTTATATTTATTAATTTATTTATATCATAGACTGGACTGGAGCAGATTATTTTGAGTGAAATAAGTCAAGCAGAGAGAGTCAATTATCATAGGTTTCACTTACTTGTGGAGCATAAGGAATAACATGGAGGACATTAGGAGAAGAAAAGGAAAAGTGAGTTGGGGAAAATCGGAGGGGGAGATGAACCATGAGAGACTGTGGACTCTGAGAAACAAACAGGGTTTTGAAGGGGAGGCGGGTGAGGGATGTGTGAGCCTGGTGATGGGTATTGAGGAGGGCACGTATTACATGGGGTGCTGGGTGTGGTGCATAAACAATGCATCTTGGAACACTGAAAAAAAATAAAACCTCAATGTTTTAGATAATATATTGTAACACCTCTGTTATCAGGTTCCTCCACCTTCCCAAAGACATTGTTGTTTCTGGTTTGTTGATGTTTTGTTTGTTTGTTTAGTGACTTTCCTGGACTAATTCTGTAGATTGGTCATTCCTTGCAGTGTGTGACTTCTGAATTCTCTGCTAGCTTTATTAAAGTTC